GGCATCCAGGAAGGCCCTGGAGCATTCCAAGATGGCCCCAAGTCGGCTCAGAGAGGCCCTCCAAACGGCTTCCGACGGCGTCGGACGGGCCAGGAGCCCACCAAGACGGCCGAAGATGGCACTAAGATGGCCCAAGACGGCCCAAGAGGCCTCCCAGAGGGCCTCCAGGAAGGCCAGAAACAGGTCAGAATCATTGACTTCCCATGAGTTTTTGAAGGATTGTGGCATTTGCTTTTTTTCTGCCTTCCGACGGCCCGAGACGGCCCAAATGCCCCCAACGATCGCCCAAGAGGCCCAAGACAGCCCCGAGAGGCCCCCAAGACGGCCTAAGAGACCTCCAAGACGTTCAAGATGGCCTCCAAGACGGCCCAAGAGCCCTCCCCAGACGTCCAACGTCGGGTTCTGTCCCCAGACATGCGGCGTCCTCGGAAGTCCCGACCCTTTCCCTGGGGCCTGCTTTTCATCCTGAGTATTTTGTTGACGGTCCCGAGGACCGGCGAGGGCTCGCAGGGGCCGAAATCGACCTGAAACCTCGTGCCATGATTTTTGTTCACGACGCGATCACGTCTGGGTCACAACGTGGCCAAGACGTCCTCCAAGAAGGACCGAAAGGGTCAAAATGGCCTCCAGGCGGCCACGATGACCTTCAAAATGCTCAGGTGTTCCCTGGAGGCTTTCCAAACCGATTCGGGGAACAAATGGTCCGATAGCTTGGCAGGTCTGGCCTCAACGTTCGGCCACATAGGCGCTTCCAAAAAGGCAGGGTGTGGCGGTGATTCGCCGAGGGCGTCTTCGATCCGCCGCCCCCTGTCGATTCATCGTAGGGGTGCCCAGCGTGCTGAATCCTTTCGATTTTGGTTTTGGCTATTTTTCCAAACGAACTCCCCCTGGCGCTTCGGCCCGTCCCGCCGGCCCTGGGGAAAGCCTGCAAACGACCTCAACGTCCACAACAAATTCTCCGAGACGGCTCAAGATGGCCTCCAAGACGGCCAAGATGGCCCTCAAGCTCGCCCAAGATGGTCCAAGATGGCCTCCCAAACGGCCCAAGAAGGTCCAAGATACCTCCAAGTTCGCCCAAGAAGCCTCCAAGACGGCCCAAGACAGCCTAAGAGGCCTCCAAAAGGTCCTCCAGGAGGGCCCGAAGAGGCCAAAATCGTTGATTCTCCTTTGAGTTTTGAAGGATTTTGGCATTTACTTCTTTTCGGCTCCGACGGCTCAAGACGGCCCAAGAGGACCCGAAGATCGCCTCAAGATCGCCCACGACGCCTCCAAGATGGCCTCAGGACTGCCCAAGAGGCTCCCAAGACGGCACCAAGAGGGCACAACCGACGACCCAGAGGCCTCGAAGACGCCCAAGATGGCCTCTAAGACGGCCCTGGAGCACCCCAAGAGGGCCCCAAGTCGGCCCAGAGAGGCCCCCCAAACGGCTCCCGACGGCGTCAGACGGGCCAGGAGCCTACCAAGATGGCCGAAGTTTGCTCGAAGCTGGCCCAAGACGGCCCAAGAGGCCTCCAAGAGGGCCTCCAGGAAGACCAGAAAAAGGCCAAAAACATTGATTTTCCTTCGGTGTTTGAAGGATTTTGACATTTGCTTCTTTTCCGCCATCCGAAGGCCCGATACGGCCCAAAAGCCCCCAAAGATCGCCCAAAGATCGCCCAAGAGGCCTCCAAGATGGCCCCAGAACGGCCCAAGAGGCCCCCAAGACGGCCCCAAAAGGCACCCAAGACGGCCCAGGAGGCCTTTCAGACGCCCAAGATGGCATCCGAGACGGCCCTGGAGCATTCCAAGAGGGCCCCCAAGTCGGCCCAGAGGGGCCCTCCAAACGGCTTCCGACGGCGTCGGACGGGCCAGGAGCCCACCAAAACGGCCGAAGACGGCCCTAAGATGGCCCAAGACAGCCCAAGAGGCTTCCAGGAGGGCCTCCAGTAATGCCCGAAAAGGTCAACATCGCATGAGTTTTTGAAGGATTGTGGCATTTGCTTTTTTTCAGCCGTCCGACGGCCCGATACGGCCCAAGAGCCCACAAAGATCGCCCAAGAGGCCCAAGACGGCCCCAAGAGGCCCCCAAGACGGTCCAAGAAGCCTCCAAGATGCTCAAGATGGGCTCCAAGACGGCCCAAGAGCCCTCCAAGACGTTCTCCAAGAAGGCCCGAAAGGGTCAAAATAGCCTCCAGGCGGCCAAGATGACCTTCAAGATGCCCACGTGTTCCCCGAAAGCTTTCCAAACCGATTCGGGGAACACATGGTCCGATAGCTTGGCAGGTCTGGCCTCAACGTTCGGCCACATAGGCGCTTCCAAAAAGGCAGGGGGCGGCGGTGATTCGCCGTAGGCGTCTTCGATCCGCCGCCCCTTGTCGATTCATCGCAGGGGTGCCTGGCGTGCTGGACCCTCTCGGTTTTGGTTTTGGCTCTTATTCCAAAAGAACTCCCCCTGGGGCGTCGGCCCGTCACGCCGGCCACCCGGAAAGGACCTCAATTGCGCAATTTGTCCTCCAAGACGGCTCAAGATGGCGCCAAGATGGCCACGCTTGCCCAAGGAGCACAATTCCCCAGTGTTTCGCTCAAGATGACCTCAAGGAGCACAGTTCCCCAATGTTTCGCTCAAGATGGCCCAAGATGGCCTCCAAGACGGCCACGTTGGCCACAGATGGCCTCCAAGATGGTCCAAGATGGCCTCCAGGTTCGCCCAAGATGGTCCAAGACGGCCTCCAAGACGGCCCAAGAGAGCCCAAGACGGCCCAAGAGGCCCCCCAGAGGCCTCCAAGACGGCCCCAGAGGCCTCCAAGAGGTCCTCGGCCAGCAGGCCCCAAGATGCCTCCCAAAGCTCACAAAAGAGCCCCCAAGGGGCCCCGAACGCGCCCATTCCTCACTCTCCTCCTCTTCCCCGTCCTCGCCTACCGTGTTCTCCGAAGGCTTTCCAAACCGATTCGGGGAACACATGGTCCGATAGCTTGGCAGGGCTCTGGCCTCAACGTTCGGCCACACAGGCGCTTCCGAAAGGGCAGGGGGTGGCGGTGATTCGCCGTAGGCGTCTTCGATCCGCCGCCCCCTGTTGGCTGGCCACAATGGTGCCTGGCGTGCTGGATCCTGTCGGTTTGGGCTTTGGTTCTTTATCCAAAAGAACTCCCCCTGGGGCTTCGGCCCGTCCCGCCGGCCACCCGAAGGGCGCAAAATTCGCCCAAAAACAATCCCAAGACGGCTCAAGATGGCTTTCAAAACCGCCCTGATGGCTCAAGATGGCCTCCAGGATGCCTCCAAGACGGCCAAGATGCCCTCCAAGACGGCCACGATGGCTCCAACATGCCTCCAAGACGGCCCAAGAGACCTCCAAGACGGAGTCCAGGAGAGCCCGAAGAGGCCAAACACAAAGGTGTACCCAAGATCTTTTGATTGATTTTTGGATGTGCTTATTTTGGGCCTTGAGACAATCCAAGACGGCCTAAGAGGTTTCAAAGATCGCCCCAAGATCGCCCAGGAGGCCTCCAAAATGGCTCCAGGATGGCCCACGATGGCGTCCAAGTCGCCAAAGATGGTCCAAGATGGCCTCCAAGACGGCCTGAGAGAGTCCAAGATGCCTTCAAGTTCGTCCAAGAAACGTCCAAGACGGCCCAAGATGGCTCCAAGATGGCCTAAGACTGGCCAAGAGATTCCCAAGAGGCCTCCAAGGCGTCCTCCAGGAAGGCCCGAAAGGGCAACAATCGTTGATTGTCCTAAGGTTGTTGAAGGACTGTTGCATGTTCTACTTATCGGCTCTCCGACGCCCAAGACGGCCCACGAGGCCCCAAACATCGTCCCAAGAGCGCCCAAGAGGCCAAGATGGCCCCTTGACAGCCCATGAGGCCCCCAAGAGGGCCCCAAGAAGAGCCCAAGACGGCCCAAGCTGGCCCCGATGGCCTCCAAGATGCCTCCAGGACGGCCAAGAAGGCCTCCAAGACAGCGAAGATGGCCCGAAGATGCACCCAACACGGCCCCAGATGGCTTGCAGATGGCCTTCGACTGCCCAAAAGGCCCGCAAGATGCCTCCAAGACGGCCTCAGAGACCTCCAAGACGTCCTCCAGGAAGGCCCGAAAGGGTCAAAATGGACTCCAGACGGCCAAGATGACCTTCAAAATGCCTGCAAGACGGCCAAAATGTCCTCCAAGTCGGCGAAGATGGCCCCAAGATGCACCCAAGACTGCCCAAGATGGCCTCAAGGTCCGATGGCTGGTCCGATAGCTCGCCCGACGCCGTGTCCCTCGAAGGCCTTCGAAACGCACTCGGGGAACGCGTGGCCCGATAGCTTGGCCAAGTTCAAACCCAACTTTCGGCCACGCAGGCGTTTCCAAAAAGGCAGAGGGCGGCGGTGATTCGCCGTATGCGTCTTCGATGTAGAAGCTGGTACTTCAATTGTTCCACTCTGTCTATACATGTATATACATATATGTACAAGTGTGTACACGAACACACATTATGTATATGTATTCATGCGAGATCCATGTGCGCGCTATCAACCAATTGAAGAAACAACTTCCCACAACCCCGGGAGTAGCGGATATGGAATACTGGGGCCATGGAGCTCGAGCAATCTATCCCTATCGCTCCCCGAAGTAATGGGAAATCGCCCCCCACCGCGGCGCTCTGGTATGGAAAGAAGGGGTGCGCCGAGGGGGGGCTTCCTTCCAAAAAGGCAGCGGGTGTCCTCGGAGCGCTCGGGGTTTTTGAAAAGACTTTTTGGAGATTCGGTTGGCTTCTGGGACCCCCTTCTGACTTCTGTAAAACAACATGCAGTACATCAACATGCACATACGGAGGCCCGCGCGGTCCTGTGACACTTTCGGTTGTGCCGGTTTCCTACTTCGAAAAACAAAAACTTTTTGGAGGGCGGGGAAGCATCTGACACGCCCCCTGACTTCTTAGGAATTCCCCTGACGCCACCCCATTTCCGCGCGCCGCCCGCTCTACGGAATACAACGTCTGACCTACAATTCCGATGCATGTTGTCGTGGCGGCGGCGGCTGGCCTTGTCGGTCGAGCGGCGGGGCAACCGGAAACAGTCGGTCTCGCTGGTGACGCAGTGCTCCCCGCAAATGCTGCAGTAGAACGAGAAGAGTCTCCTCTCGCCTGGCCAAACGGCGGGGGAAAGCACGCTGCGGGACCAGCACATGCCGCGCACAACTATGAGCGAAAGAGAAAGAGAGAGAGAGAGAGAGAAAACACAAACAGAGAAACAGAGAGATATATAAAAGAGAGAGAGAGAGAGAGAGAGAGAGAGAGACAATAAAAGAACAGAGAGAGAAACAGAAAGAGAGAGAGAGAGGAGAGAAAAAAAAAGGAAAAACAAATATTTCCTTTTCTCGCCTCCCCATCCTTCCTTTCACTCCTCCCCATTCTTCCCCTCCCCCCCCTTCCCGAGAAGAAGGGGGGCCCGAATAACAAACCGGATGAAGGAGGGGGCCCAGTGGAAGGACACCGGGAAATTATGATAACGGAGATGATGACGATGGTGATGACGATGCTGATTCTGGCGGTGATGATGATGCTACTTGGCGCTCCTCTAGATCCTCGCTCCGATGATCCTTGGCGCCCCTCGAGATCTCGCACCTAGAGCTCGCCTGCGCGCCGGAGGTCCTTCGCGCTCCTCGCCAGGGGACCTATTTCTATGTCGGGCCTGTCCCCCTACAAGGGGATTTCGACGAAAAAAACATACCCCAAAAAGGCCAGAACATACTCAAATATAATCCCCAGACTATGTTTGGATTATTTTTTGACTAATTCTGGGATATTAGTGTTCGTCGAAAACTCCCGTAGGGGGACAGGCCCGACTTGAACCTATTTTGCAAGCCCCCCTCGGGAAACTTGCCCATCCAGTCTCGGCGCCCCTTGGGGCCGCCCTTGCACGGCGGGCATGTCGCGCGCGCGCAAGCGCTGCGGCGCTTGCCTCCTCGAAGGCATCGCGCTCGGGCCCTGGCGCGGTCGGGGCCTTCGGCGGCTGGGCCTCGCGCCCTTGCTCTTTCCCTTGGCCTTTGCAGAAGTGTTGTCGCTCGCGTCTTCAAGCACCTGGATCCGCTCGCTGCCTCGAGCGCGCGCCATGCTGATGCCGATTGGCGGATGGCGGCCCTCTCCTGGGATCTCGCGCGAGGCGCGCTCGACCCACGTCGCCACCCAGAGTCCGCGGGAACATCCACTTGGAACGTCTTGTTGCTGCCCGGAGGGCATTCCACGCCAGGGCCGGCGGCGGCGAGCTTTCGGAAGATCATCGTGGCGGCCTGCGTGGCGCGCCCGCCCCCTGCTTGGACACCTCGATGTAGGCGCGGTGCGCGGTTGCCTCGGAGCGCGCCGCGATCAGCAGGTGCTCGGCCTTCTCGACCCCTCGGCCCAGCGTTTCTGCCCCTGCTGCTGCCGGGCGGGCTCGACCACCGCGGCGGTCGCAGGGGCGCCCGCGCGCTCGTCCATCTCGCCGAGCAGCGCGCGCGCCTCGCCCTGCTCGAGGGCGTCGCCAGTCTCGATCTGCTTCCACCTCCCGGCTTCAAGCAGTTGCGCGGCGCGGAGCTCCGCGGAAAGCCGCGACGGCAAGGTCCGCATGGAGGCCCCGCCTCGCGTCAGCACGCCGCTCACGCGCTTTGCGGCGCCATGGAGAGCGCCGCCGAAGGGGTCAGTGACAAGGTCCGCATGGCAGCCCCGCAACATGGAACACACCTGGAAAAGAGATGTTAGAACCATGCTGCAGCACGTTCGGTCACACACCCAACATTAAATAATGCGAAACCACAACAGTAGGGCGGAAACACTGACAGAAGAGTAGGGCGGAAATTTGCATCATTGCGGATCCGGAGTCAGGGGGGCGGACTTGTGGACCGGTGGGCCCACGGACCGGTGGACTGGTGGACTGCTGGGCCGGTGGACCAGTGGACCATGGCGGGATCGGCGAGACCGGTGGACCGGTGGACCAATGGACCGGTGGACCAGTGGATCGGCGGACCGGTGGACTGGTGGACCGGTGGACCAGTTGACCAGTGGACCGTTGGACCGACGGACCGGTGGACCGATGGACCCGTGGACCGGTGGACCCGCGGTCTGGACCGGCGGGCCGGTGGACCGGTGGACAGGTGGACCCGTGGACCAACTGGACCGGTGGACCGGCGGGCCGGCGCATGTCCCCCACCATTCTGCGAGAGAGGGGGCGGCTTGAAACGCGCCCCTCTTGGGGGGCGCCTCTCTGGAAAAACGGCGCCTCAAGGGCGCGTGGCTCGGGGCGCTCGCGCGCCGGGCGCTCGCCGCGCCAGACCTCGCGCGGCCGCCGCTCGCTGCGCAGGCGCGCTTCGTGGTCGACCCCATCGGCCCCCGGCTCGCCCTTCGCCTCGGCCTCGCTCTTCGGGGCCGCGCGCTTGGCGAGCGGCTCGGCGCGCCGAACGTGGGCCTCGGCGATGGCTGGGGAGGGGATCTTGGAATGGGCCTCGAGGAACGCCTGCTCGCGCGCGGCGCGCGTCTTGTACTCTTCCTCATCAAACTTGCGGCGCTCGTTCATGGGGTAAGTCATGGCCGAGCTCGAATGATATGTCGTCGGTCCGCTCGACGCGCCGACGCCACTCGACGACGCGCTCGGTCGTCGTCTGGGCTTCGCTCTTGCTCGACGCCATGTTGTTCCCGAGGCACCGCTCCGCGCGTGACGCGCCCAGCCTGGAGGAGAAGAGCGACGGGCCAGCGCGACTCCACCGCGGAAGCCCCCTGCCGATGAAGATGCTTCATGGGCGCTTGTCTCAGATGGCACCAGGCTGCCAGGTTTCGAGCACAACCACGCGGCAGGCGTTGCTTCTGCTGTTTCGGCCTTCGGGGGTCGTTGCCGATCCCCAGGTCGATCAGAGAATGACCCGCGACGGAAAAGCAATTTCGGGAGCGTATTGTGGTCATCGCCTGGTTAACATCATGTCGCGTTGCCTGTCATGTTTGAAAGCTTCCTGCTCTTTGCGAGCTCTCGGTGTCATACGACAGATGGTGAAAGTCGCGGAATGAAGTGTTGAGTTGGGCGTGACCGAGCGCCCTGTGTGCAGCACAGATTGGATGTCGTGGTTTGCGGGATGAGTTCGTTAGTTGTTGCGCGTTCAAAAAAAATCCTTCGGGAAGCTCCGAAGGTCCATCCCGCCTCAAGGGGGGTCTGATTCTATGGACGGTCCAGAAGTTGCCCTGGAGTTTGCCAGGCAATTTCGTAGATCAATCTTTCCGACGCGCCTTGCCAATGATTTCCGTGCGTGCTCACCCGCAAAAGAGTTACCTGCAGGCCTACATCCGAATTCCCTGTCGTCTGAGAAATTTGCCAGAGACCTTTGTCGACAAATTCTCTGGCAGCCGGCCGAAGATTCTGGTGGTCACCGAGGGGGTTCACGTGGCACATAGGTGACGTTAAGGGCTTTGGCGGCCCCCAGCGCGCTCGTTCCGCGTCGCGCTCAAATGGCTGCCCCCATCTACTCTTCGCCAGCCCTTCATCTTCGCAGTCGTCGCCCAGGCCACCCGTCGTTTACTTCTCGCGTTCGCTGTGTCTTCGAAGGCCGAACGGGCCGCAGGTCCCACGTTTCAGACCCGTGCCCATTCAAGACAATGTCAAGCAACTTCTGAGGGGGGACATCAGAACCCGGCTCCCAGGGCAGGCCAGCTCGCCCCCTCGGCGGGAGCCCGTGTGGGCCCCGCGGGGGCTGAGCGGAAGGGGAACATCTCAGGAGGCTGCGCCGACGCAAGTACACCGGAGGCGACACGATCGGGGCAAACACCCCAGGGGCGGACATCACGCGCTTTTGCCCAGCAGCCTGGCCACAGGGAAAGACCATCGGTGCCTCTGCATACACGAACTGCTATCCCCTGGGCTGTTCGCCGCCATCGCCGCCCCCGAAGATAAGGGGCACATTCGACAGACGTCAGCGCTGTGGAGGTCTTCCAGGCGCGACTTGGCGATGCTAGGATCATCTGCGCGGCAACCCTCTGAGTCTTACGCGGGGGGCTCTGACTCAATCACCTGCTTCTCTGGGACTCCTCTGGGTTTTGCCTGGCGATGCTCTTCAGATCCTCTGGAGGCTCTTCCGGGATCATGCTGGAACAGATCCTCCTCCACCACCCTCCCTCCCTTTCCCTTTTCTGTCCCCCCCTCCTTTCTCTTCCCCCTCCCTCCTCCTCCTCCTCCTCCTCCTCCTCCTCCTCCTCCTCCTCCTCCTCCTCCCCCTCCTCCTCCTCCTCCTCCCCGTCCTTGCCTCGCTGCTTTGGGTAGCCCCGACCCCCAGATAATAAATCATCCCCCCCTTCCCACCTGACAATTTATTATCCCCGGCCATTTACAGATCCGGTCGGGGGGGAGGGGCGGCAAGGCCGAACTTTATAATTGCCGGGGGAAATAGCGAGTTGAATATGTTATCTTCTTGAATGAACTAGCGACATCATCAAGAACGTGTGGCATGGCAGTGTGGGGTCTCACCATTTCAGCTTTCGCAAGTCACGAGCGTGTGGCAAAGCCATGGGATCTTCACCGTTTCAGCTTTCCCAAGCCACGAACGCGTGGCACGGCGTTGGGATTCTCACATTCCCAGCCCTTCCCGAGCTAGGACCGTGCGGCACGGCTATAATATTCTTACCATTCCAGCTTTCCATGTCACGAACGTGTAGCAGGGCCATGGGATTCTCACCATCTTAGCTCTTTTCCCGAGTCAGGAACGTGTGGCATGGCCATCGGATTCTCACCATTTCAGCTTTTCCCTGTCACGAACGTGTGGCAGGGCCGCGGGGTTTTCCCCATCTCAACTCCGCGCAGCACGAACTCCTCCCTCCTCCCTCCCCCTCCCTCCTCCCCGCGGCCACCCCTCCCGTAGCTGTTTGAGGCCCGAGCTCTACCGACCCGAGCGCTACTCTAGGCCCCAAGCTGTTCCGAGCAGGCCCCAGCTCTACCGAGCCGCCAGCAACACCGGCCTCCAAGCCCATCGAGAGCTAACCGCCCGAGGTTCTCCAGCAAATCGCCAAGCAGAACGAGAAGGTCACCGCCCAGATCGACTCAGAACAAGACGGAGGCATACCTATCAGGATAATAGGATCCCCGGCCAAATAACAGGATCCCCCTATATTTACCCATATTTCCTGGGTTTTTGTCCTCCCCCCCACTTCCCATATTTTCCCATATTTTCCTGGGAGTGGAGGATTAATTGTGTCTGTGTGCTTTTTCCCCTCCAGATAATCTCCCGTTCGAAAATACTCGAGCCCGCCAGGAACAAGGACATCGAGCTCGGCGCCGACAAGGTCGCCCGCCTCGGCTTCGGCTCCTACTTCGAGCGCACCGGCGAGACCCTCGCCGAGATCTCCGCACCCCTCCAGCACATCCGCGATCCGGTGCTGCCGCCTGCCGCTCAACAGGAGCTCTGGGCCCGCCCAGAGGATCCTCGACGAGGACGCTTCCAGCATGGCCGACGTCAGATCTGCACGTCTGCGGCCAGGCGGCCGACGCCTGGAAATGCTGGGCACGCCAGCATCGACCTGTCCTGGACTTCCTGGGGATCAACCTGCTTACGCACGCTGGCCTCCGCCGGAGGGCCCCCGCGCGCACGACGATGTCGGGGGAGCGTCACGTCCACCGCGCCCGTGGGCCTCGAGCAAGCGCAGGTAGCGTCCAATGCCGCGTCCCTCCTCCGTCCGCCCCCCCCCCCCCCCGCATCCGTCCATCCATCCATCCATCACTCCTGCCTCCGTCATCTTGCCTCCTGCCCATTGCCGTCTACAGTACTTCCTGCCTTCTCCTCTCCTCTCCTCCTCCTCCTCCTCGTCCTCCTCCGCCTCCCTCTCCGCCCTGATGATCCGTATACACCTCCGTCTGCTTCCCTGTTCCTGCCTCATCCTGCTTCCCACCTCCATCTGCCCTCCTTCTGCGGCTGCGGCTGTCTCGGACCCCGCTCACCGACCAGGGTGGTGTCTTCGCTGGTGAAGTTCATGATCTTGAAGCGCTTCTGCTGCCCCTCCTTGGAGGGGTGAGGTGAAGCATGTTTTTTCCCACCCCGGGGAGCAGGGGGCGGGGTACGGGTCGGGGGCTTCGACAGCGACCCAAGGTTCGGATGGGGGGTAGCTCCAGATGACGAGGATGATGAAGATGAGACTGATTATGCTGATCATAATGATGATGCTGATGCTGATGGTGATGCTGATGACTAGGATGATGATGATGCTGACGATGCTGATGATGAGTCTGGTAATGTTGATGATGATGATGATGATGATGCTGATGCCGATGATGATGATGATGATGATGATGATGATGATGATGATGATGATGATGATGATGATGCCGATGATGCCGATGCTGATGAGGATGATGATGATAATGAGGATGATGATGATACTGACGATGGTGATGGTGATGGTGACGATGGCGATGATGATTATGATGAGGATGGTGGTGATGATGATGATGATGACGCCGCTGTTGCCGATGAATGACGATGATGGTGGTGATGAAGGTGAGGCTGCTGATAATAGTGCTGATGGTGGTGATGATGAGGATGTTGCGGCTGATGATGATAGTGACGATGATGGTGATACTGATGATTATGATGATGCTGCTGCTGATGATGATGAGGAGCTGCTGATGATGATGCTGATGAGCATCATGGCGATGATGATGATGATGATGATGATGATGATGATGATGATGATGATGATGATGATGATGAGGATGAGGATGAGGATGATGATGATATTGAAGAGGAGGATGACGACGAGGAGAAGGAATTGGAGGAGGAAGCGGAAGCGGAGGGGGAACGAAGTCAGATGATGAGAAAGAGGAGAGGGCCCCAGAGGAATGTGGATGATGAAGAGGAGGAGGAGGAGAACCTCCTCCTCCTCCTCCTCCTCCTCCTCCCCCTCCATCTCGTCCGCCTTCTTCCTCTTCATGATCCTCCCTCCTGGGGCCCTGGGGCCCTGGGGCTCTGTGGAGATCCCGAAACCAATGCCAATCCTCCTGGTAAACTCTGGAACTGTCGAGGTTGTCGTTGTCCTCCGCTCGCCTCCTCCTCCTCCTCTTGATGTCAGTGATGCTCACCAGTGAATGTCTCTATGGGGCCCCACCCTAGGCCAGAAAAGGCTGAGCGCGTCAGAAAACCTCCGCATTCGATACTCGAACCTCGCTCCATACATACCCCGAGGATCGCGGGAGCCTGGGGAGAGGGCGGCGGGGGACACAGCCTCTGTGGTCGCCCGCTCCCTGGAGGAGCTGGGGCGGCTCTGCCAGTGACCCTGGAGGAACACGTGCTGCCTCCTCCTCCTCCTCCTCCTCCTCCTCCTCCTGCTCCTCCTGCTCCTCCTCCTCCTCCTCCTCCTGCTCCTCCTGCTCCTCCTCCTCCTCCTCCTTCTCCTCCTCCTACATGTTTTTCTTTATGGTGCGACAGAAGACGCTCGTGACAGCCATGGGGGGGGCGGCACGGCCACGGACCAACGGATGGGATGATGGGACGACGGCGGCACGGCCCGTCGATCCCTCCGACGCCGCAGTGTGTGCCCGACGTGGGCCCCCCCGACCTCTCATCTTCTACCAGCCTCGAACGTATCCCTATCCCTAAGATTGACACGCCAAAAGGCGACGACAATCTTAGGGATTCGCCCTCAAACAATAAGGGAATCCCTAAGATTGGCATCGTGATGGGGAGGTGCCCAGCATGGGGACAGGAATATGTTCCAGGCTGGTAAACCTTGAGGCAATCGAGAATGATCGAAGGACGAGGATCGACACTTTTGGACGCGTTTGGCTAGTATTGTTTTGCCTCTGGAGGCTCTCGGTACAAATTTGACCATCCAGTGCATTTTGCTTGACGGTCCTTGGGCCCCAGAGAGGCCCCCGAGGCCCAGACTGAGAAAACGCCAGCCGTCTCGAGATCGGAAGTTCTGGGAATGGGCTCTGATTGTACTGATACAACTTCGCCTCCATCTGCTCAACGAGCTGCTCGCGCTGCTTCCGCTTGATGTCCGCCAGGGTGGTCTCGCCGTCCGCGGTCTTGGCGCGCCAATTCGGGTCATCCTCCTGGGAGCGGGCTTCGGAGAGGCGCTGGAGGACCACGCGAAGCGAAGGAGTTGGGAAGAAAAACAAGGATGGACCCAGACCTCCGAACGTATCGGTCCTTCGCAACTGTCGATGTGTGGAGCCCATTTCGGAGCCCCCGTACCGTCAAAACGACGCTTCCAGGGTGCAATGATGAGCAATCTGCCCCGAAGAAGGGGTCGAGAGCTGCGGGGACCCCGAGGCACATGTCACGTTCGTCAGTGGTTGCGGGATGGTTGAAGAGCGAGGGGTGAGGTGAGGTGGGGCTGGGAAAGGAGGGAGGGGGGGTTGGGGAAGCCGCACTCGCAAGTGAGGTTGTAGAGGAGCGGGCCCACAGGAGTAGGAGTGGGAAGGGGGCGGGAGTGGGCGAGGGGGAAGGGGGGGAGGCGAGCAGGGAAAGAGGAAGGGGAGGGAGGGGCAGACGGAGGGGGACAAAGCGATGCGGCAGCGGCATGTAGAAACTGCATGCAATCGAACGTACAATTTAGATCGGGCAGGGAGGCTGAAGAGCTCGATACAGGCCAGGCAAATGGGAACTAACGCCTGGGAACAGAGGGCACTACCCAACTGCGCTGTTTCTTCGTGATCAAATCCGCCACCGTGCCTCGAGGCATGAAGTGGAGTGTCCTCAGGTCCTCAAGGGTCCTCTGTACTCAGGACTGGGGGATTATAGTATTCTAGAAGCTGGGGGCCCAAATTCTGAAATTATCCCGGCGTTCCCGCGCGGTCTCGCGAGCTCTTGGGCTCGATCGCGTGAACTTTCCAGTCCACAAGGCCCCAAGACAGGCCAGGAGGGCCCCAAGAAGCGCTCACGAGGCCTCCAAGACAGACCAAGAGCGTTCCTAGACGCCCAAGAAGAGTGTCCAAGAGGCCCCAAAGCAGCCCCAAGAGCGCTCCAAGAGGCCCCCCCTAGAGGGCCCAAAGAAGCAAACACCAATGCATTTCCCTATGTTTTTTCTATGTGATTCGCGTTCTCGCATTTTCAAGCATCCGGTGCTCCAAGATGGCCCCAGAGCCCCCCAAGATCGCCCCGAGACGGCCCAAAAAGTCTCCAAGAGGGCCCCAAGACGGTCCAAGAGGGCTCCAAACAGCCAAAGAGGGGCCCAAGATCGCCCAAGAAGGCCCCAAGACGGCCCCAATAGGGGCCTAAGAGGGGGACCCCGAAGCGACAAGTCGAGCCTTGCTCCTCAAGGAGCCGAGGCCCCCATAGGCTCCCAAGAGGCCTCCCAAGAGGCCTCCTAGAGGCCCCACGAGGCCCCCAAAAAGCCCAGAAGAGGCACCAAGAAGTCTCCAAATGGCCCCAAAGAGGCATGCACACTGCCTTCAAGAGGCCCCCGAGAGGCCTCCCACGACATCCAAACGAACATACAAGGGGCCTCTAAGCCACAATCCAGGCACGGTGGCGGGATGGGTAGAAGGCCCTTCGATACGATGCAGTGTAGTCACAAACCACGTTACAAAGGTGGGCCGTTTGAGATGATATTATGTGATTGACGTGCTGCGCGCGCTTCTCCGACACATCATCACATCGTTCCGCAATTCGCCGTTACTGAACCAGGAGAGGCGACTTGTGACAGGAACGGCATCAACAACATCCCGGGCAATTGCAAACCAACGGCAGCGGCAGCAAAAACACCAACTACACAAGGGAATCTGGCAGCGCGGGTGGCACGGCAAAACGAGCAATGTGTAGGTCCGCCAGGCCTGCTGGATACACCCCCACGGTAAGGTCGTGGCCCCAAGTACGACAAAGGGGTGGCAAGTGGCTTGAAATCGAAGGGAGCTTCCACCGCAGCGCTGGCACCTCGAATGGTCTCTCCAGGAGAAGGCGAGTTTCTTGCATCGACCCGATTGCCGTGGGAAGGAAAATCCACCTTTCACGCAAGAGCAGCTGCATTGCTGCAGGAGGGCGGCAACGTGACCTGACCGACAGGAGCGCGGGCAACATAATGATGCTAACGAGACATGACTGACAGGCGTGGACGAAAACAGTGCTCCGGCACAGAAGAAGAACGCGCGCGAAAATCGACGCTGCGTGACATGCATTCAGTGGCGCCCAACCAGCCGCCCCAATTGAAGGTGAACTCCTTGTTCGAGTAGTTCCCTGAAGAGCGTTTTAATTGCCGCCGCTGGAACCTTTTGCACAAAAAAACACTGCTGTTCTGGAGTGGCATGCTCGGAGAAAACTGGATTGAAAACAACCAGAACGAGAGATCAGCGGGAGTGAAAAGGGGAACGCGTGCGATGTGCACAATGGAACGTAACATCGTCCTCGACAACCCCTCTGCCAGCAACATCAGATGTCGGTCCGCGGAGCCCGTACAGAGTTTGGCTGATAAGTTTGAGCGGTAAGAACACATCTTATAATTACTGTAGCACCCCGCATATGCGGATAAGAGTGATGGGAGCGGTGGGGGCGTCGGCTGTCTGCGAGACTCTGGAGAAACCCGCCGCATGCGCCAACGCTTCATACACTATGCAACGAACCCGCCGCTGGCGCTGATTTCTTGTAGGAACCAATGTGGGTAGGTCGCGGGGTGGGCCGCGGGTGGGTCGCAAATGAGTCGCGGGTGGGACGCGGGTGGGTCGCGGGTGAGTTGCGGGGTGGGCCGCGGGTGGGTCGCAAGTGGGTCGAGGGTGGGTCGCGGGATGGGTCGCGGGGTGCGTCGCGAGTAAATCGCGGGGTGGGTCGCGGGTGGGTCACGGGGTATGTCGCGGGTGGGTCGCGGGGTGGGTCGCGGGATGGGTCGTGGGGTGCGTCGCGGGTAGGTCGCGGGGTGGGTCGCGGGGTGGGTCGCGGGTGGGTCGCGGGGTGTGTCGCGGGTGGGCCACGGGGTGGGTCGCGAGCGGGTCGCGGGGTGGGTCGCGCGGTGTGTCGCGGGGTGGGTCGCGGGGTGGGTCGCGGGGTGGGTCGCCGGTGGGTCGCGGGACGGGCGACGACAGCAAACACACCCAACACCAACAACAACAACAACAACAACAACAACAACAACAACAATCATTCTAAGACTGGTCGCTCTCTCTTGCCCGTGTGCCA